GAATGATCTTGAAGCATTTCAAGTCATCTGCAAACAATAGGGCTTTAGTGTTAGGAAAGCAAGTTATGATGTCATTAATAAACAGGTTGAATAGTAGCGGTCCTAAGTGAGACCCTTGAGGAACACCCGAAGTAACTGGGAAAATTTGGGAATAATGATGATTTACTCGAACCTGTTGAGTCCTATTTGTTAGATAACTACCGAGCCATTGTAAGACAATCCCATCAATACCATATAAATTTAGCTTATGAACGAGAAGATCATGGTTCACCTTGTCAAAGGCCTTGGAAAAGTCTGTATATACAGAATCTACCTGTAGACCCTTCTCTAAAGCTTCAGACAGAAAGTTAGCATATGTTAATAAGCTTAGTTCAGCAGATTTGCCTGGCGAAAAACCAAATTGTTGGGAATTTAAGATATTGGAGCAGTCGTGAGTTAGAAAATCAGTTATTATACTTTCAAAGATTTTTGGGATTGTGCTTAGGATGGAAATGGGGCGATAATTTATTACATTAGATTTGTTACCCGATTTGTAAATGGGAGTAACATAAGAGAGTTTCCAAAAGTCAGGAAATTCACCTGTGCTCAGTGATTTGTTAAAGATATGAAAAAGTGGCCTAGATAATGCAAAATTAAATGTTTTGAGAAAAATGGGTGGAATTCCATCGGGACCTGACCCTTTATAGTGTCAAGAGTTGACAGCTTAACATAGATCTTGGAAATTTGGATAAAATAAGAAGATACACATGTTGCAGATTGGATTTCACTTCCATTTAAATTTAGCGTTTGGTTCGTGTATACAGAAGAAAAGTGACTAGCAAATAGATTGGCAATGTCATTACCGCAGGAAGCCACTGTATCGTTTAATGTCATCGAGTCAGGTAAAGAATTATTTTCTCTCTTATTTTTTACAAATTTCCAGAACGCTTTAACATTTTTTACAACTGAATTCTCAGTACGGCTTACATAACTAGCATAACACTCTTTTGATAACATTTTGCATTGAGCTCTGAGTTGACTGAAATAATTGTAATGTTCAGGAGACTTAGTACATTTATAAGTTTTATGGGCTAACTTTTTATCGCGTAACAACTGTCTAAGCTGCGGAGAATACCAACAAGGGAATGAACTTTTACCGATTTTTTTCACTGGAACAAATTGTTCTATCACTGAAAACATTACATCGTAGAATATGCACACCATATCGGAAAGTTCTTTACCATGAAGAAGGCCATCCCACTCAATTGCGTCCAGACACTGGCGTATAGCTGAGAAATCTGCATTACGAAAATCATAGTAGTATTCTGTTCCAGAGGGTATGTTTTTATCAACATAAAGCTGCAAAGTAGTTACAAGTGGGGGGTGATAAGAGTCAGGTGGAATTAAAATGTCTACAGCATTGGAAACTGTGAGTTCATCAGGTGAAAGGACTAGATCAAGATTTGCTCCCCTACTGTTGAGCACCCCGTTTGATTGAAAGAGGTTATGTAAGGCACATATATTTGAGACAACTTCAGTAGCTTCAGCTTCCGCAAATGATGTGTTGTGCTGTACAGTTGCTGAGGAACAATAATCTTCCACTTCCCAAACTGCAGACGGAAGATTATAATCACCAAATAGATGGAACTTGGAGTTTGGATATTGTTCGCTTAAGTGTGTAATCTGATCAAAATGGGTTTGATAATTAGCAACAGGTGACTTCGGAGGGATATATAGTGCACCCAAGATACATTTATTATTTATGTGGACAAACAGTTGTTCAACTGATGCGTTAGACTGAATAAGACTGGTAGAAAGTTTTTTCTTCGTAGCTATTAGTACACCTCCCCCTCTTTCATATCTACTGGATTGCTGCGTGCGATCTTGTCTGTACACATTATAGTTAGCAAGGCCAAGTTCAGCATCATTAAAGCCGGCAGTAAGCCAAGTTTCTGTTAGAATGATAATGTCATAAGAACTATTTGAGGTATTGAGACTTAATTCAGTTAATTTGGTTCGGAGTCCTCTAACATTTTGGTAGTTTACAGAGAGCTTGAGCTTGCCCAGGTCAGTATTCTTTATTGGTTTTTTTGGACGATCTTGGGTACATTATTAACATATTTAATTATTAAATCCTGCTCACCTGAATTTTGTCGAACAGAGAGTTCAGTTCTTACTGATTCTAGGAGTTGTCTCTGATGAGGAGTTTGATCCAAATGAATGAACAGTTTTTTATTTCTAGTAATGTTTTGTTTATTTTTGAGTATCAAATGAACATCTCTAGTTGAAGATAAAATTACTTTGAGAGGACGATGCCCATTTTTGTTATTCTTGCCAAAACGAAAGATTTTCGTATCATTAATATTAATAGAGTTATCGGCATTTGTTAGAATAGATTTTACTTGCTCGACATCATCATGGGTATTCGGTAGTTCGGGAAGATTGAAGATAAGCAAGTTTTTTTCTCTTCTGTGACGCTCATTCATTTCATTTACGACTTCATCCATCGTGAAAGCGTGCGTGCTCACATTTTCCTTAAGTCTCGAGATGTCTTGTTTCAAAGATGTGACTTCAGATTTGAGAGTCTCCATTTCACGCAGAAGTTTGGGTACACTCATAAAACATAACCGACAATCACTGCAGAAGAATACTAGAGATCTTTTTTGTATAACAACAGCTCGAAGTTCAGAAGCACATAAACCTGTGCAAGTTTCTGTCATGTGCATAGCTACGTGACAACTGTCACAAACGACAAATTTTTCAGCAAGGGTTTCCTTGCAGCAAGAACAGATGTTTACCATTTTCAACAATTAGTCTCAGACTATTAGATTTTATTTTATTCGTTTTCTCCTGGACTATAGAAATAAATTCTTAGTAATTACCTTTATCAGCACACTGGTTTTATTGAGAGTTTTTTCACTTTTTATTTTTATTCCATCGATAGATAAATCTAAATCAGTTAGATTTGATTTAAATATCTAAGTTTTATTTATATGGACCACGACTTATTATGTTGATTCTACTTTCACCGATAGGGTAATTAATATGTATTCACTGGAAAAAACAACGAAATTTTTATGCACAATATAACCACTGATTTTTATAAAATATGAGGAACAAACTAAAACAGCACCATTAGCATTGGAAGCAATTTAACCTTTTTTTAACCTTTTTTTCGGAGAGCAGTCTATTTAGTCGTACGCTGCTGCGTTTTAAAAGGAATGTGCTCCTAATTTTCAACAAAATGACTTCACAAAAACAACAAATTCGTTTTAGTGCTACTGTGGATGAACAACTAATTAAAGTCGTTAGTGGTTATCCTATTCTTTGGGATATGAAACTGAAGGAATTTAAAAATGTAGTGAAAAAGGACACAATCTGGAATGAAATTGACAAAATATTAAACAAATCAGGTAAATTTTGTCTTTTTGTACGATTTATTTTGCAATTATATCTAGAGTACCTACAATATTATTTTACATACTACATAACATTTATACCACAATAAGGGTGGCCCATTTAAAACAGTCCACCTTGAATATTTTCTTATAAGATTTTTTTGGGAAATCTCCGAGACCGATCGATTTTGATTTCAAGGGACACAACTTTCTATTATATTCTCAAGTGGCATAGATCACCCCCACCCCTCTATCACTGCCACCAAGAGAATTTAAATAGGGAAAGTACTGAGTGTGACACATCAATAAAAAAGTATTTTTATAAGAAATTTAACCATATAAATATTTCTTATGCAACTTTTTATTTTAGCGCCCTCTTGCGGAAACAAAAACCGGGGTGAGGGGCAAGGGGTGACACTTAAGAATATAATAGAACGTTATCCCCCTTGAAGTTAAAATCAGCAGGTCTCGGGGATTTCCCAAAAAAAATTCTTATAGGAAAATATTTTAGGTGGACTGTTTTAAATGGGCCACCCTGATACAGCGCTGCGGCACCTATTCATTTCTGCATCTGCTTCTGAAGTAGTCTTTGAACTGGGTACTAACCTCAAATCCTTCGGAATTCGCAAATCCTCCTACTCCAGGCAATGGTATCATATTCTTCGCCGGCAGTTCATACGTATCTTCTGTGTGACTAAACGGGGCGCAACGATCAATGGACTATTCTCTTAAGTAGTTGTGTAAACAACAACATACCTAAATAATTTGGCCAACTGTCTCAGCGTTTACATTAATAGGCGTAAAAAAATCTAAATATAGAACACATTATGCCGTAAGCGTTTTCAGTCACCCTTCTTGCTTGACACAGATGATAGTTGAATCTCTTTTTCTCACCATCTTGTACAGCTTTCAAGGTTTCATGACATGTTTATCTAATCGGAAAGCCTCATCGCCTACTATTACATGATGTAACAGAATATTCGAACCTGGTAAGAATTTCGGAGGAGGAAAAAAAATTCCGTTTGTGATTTGCTTTCCCATTTCTGATTTGTTAAAGATTTCAGCGTCTCCTTTCTTGCCATAAGACCCCACATCAATACCAACGAATTTATACTTTGCATCCACCATAGCAAGAAGAACAATTGAAAAGTAATTTTTATAGTTATGGAATAGGGAACCTGTGTTGTCTGGCGCTATAATCCTAACGTGTTTGCCATCTATTCCTGCTAAACAATTTGGAAAATTACATCGGTGCCAGAATTCTTCTGCTTTTTCTTCCCAATTTATTTTAGAAACAGGTGGTAAAAACTTAGGTTGCAGTTTAGTTTTGAGTGCTTTTAAATATATTGGAACGAACTTCGATATAGCTGACGGTGATATGCGGTAGGAAAATGACATTGAACAAAAACGACTAACCTGTAGCAAGGAATCTAAAAAAAAATTGACACCATTTAATTCTTTTTATTAACTTAAAAAATGTATTTTCAGATGTAAAATGCAAATCTCGATGGAAGAGTGTTCACGATCATTATAAAAGAGAAAGGAAATTAGAAAAAAATACCCCTACTGGGTCTGCTGGTACGACGAACCGGGCTGTTTACTGGGATAGATTGAGGTTTTTGGATGGTGTGGAAGATTAGCGAGAGTAAGTAAAATATATTCTTACGAAGCGATTTGTTAACAATATATTGTTTTGTCTCAGAAGTCAATCACGAAATTGACATAACTAATGAAGATCAGGACGAGCCGCATAATAGTTGTACAGCAGGTTATGAAAAAGAGAGAACTGAAACTGATGATACTGCCGAAGAACAACTCATTGAAAATAAACTTAAAAGGAAAAGAGAAACGTCCGGGTTTTCTAAATCTGATAAAGATAAGCCTGAAGTTTCAAGTTTATTCAGTCCTTCAACAAAGACAAATAGACCAAATGATAAACTATTAAAATTATCACGAAACAAGGAGCAGGAGAGGCAACAACTCGGAAAATACGTTGACAAATTAATGGAGTCCTGTGAAGAAAACGAAATTGATCTTCTTTTCAAAAGCCTAGCTGCTACGGTTAAAAAACTTCAGCCTGATGATGTAATCGGGGCTAAGATGAACATTTTTAATGAGGTAACAGAAATGAACTAAGAAATCAGAAAGCAAGAACAAGCAGGATGTCTTCCTTTAATGAAAGTTACACTCGACCTAGCTCAGCATTATCTTCTCACTCGTCCTCTCACACATATATACAGACCATTCAGCTGTTTCCAATACGTCGCTGGCTTCACTTACACCGAATATGAATTTATCTGAAAATTTGCGAAATATGCGAATTCATTTTATGAATTATGAACATTATCTATATCAAAATAAAAATTATTTTTGAAAAATGTATGGCTTTGAAAAATAAATGTTTGATTATTTAAAAACAAATGTAAATCTGCCTTGTAACACGAAAATATGCTGTAAATTTCACTTCAATGTCGAGCAGGTGTCTATAGATAAGTAATTTAAATGCTCCTTCGCTGCTTCTGTTTTGAAATAATTAATCAGCAGAATTTCTAGTGGTATTATGAATCGTGGTTATAATGTCAATTTCTTCTTGCAAAATTTCATCTTGCAGTATTAAAAATGCCAAAGCTAATTTATTTTTACAATTATTTGACAAACTCATCGCGATGATCAGGACGCAACTGACAATCCTAGGAAAACACTTTTACGCAACGCGTTGGATGTTCCGTTGCGTCGGCCGTAATACGTTCTACGCTGCGTAAAATGTGCGTTACTAGAAAAACGCCGCTTACTTTGACGTAATTTGTAACACATGATAAAGGACAGACTCTCCAAAGGATTTGCGGTCAAATTCTGTTCTGCGGTACTGCATAACCAATAGTGCCTGTAGTCAAATGATTGGTAAAATAATCTACTCGCCAAAATGAATTATCGATCCGTTGAATTTGTTATTTGCTACTTACGGAGTTCTTAGCGTAGAATCATTTCTATCTGGATATGGAAACGAGGGAAGATTAATATTTTAGTACAAAAAAAAATATTATAGTTATATTATTTATTTTATTTAAATAGTAATTACAAAGCAATAAGTAATTATATAATTATTTATTTTTTAAATTTTTTAATGAGTTTTTTATTTGTATTTATTAATTTTATATACGTACATACTGATGCTAGATCCTTGTTAAAAAAAAAGATAAATTTCATTTTTTAAAATACGGAGAAAATTTATAATCACTTATAATTAAATGACCGATTTTTGCTTTAGCTGAGAACGAAATATTTAGATTTATAAAAATAATGTATATACATTAATACCATTAATAAAGGAATCGGCAAAGCTTGGGACTTTGGATTCGGCGATTCGGATTTAAATCCCATAGTATTTGATGGCATATATCGTTGACACCTGTGGAAATAAATATTTACCTCTTAGAGTGATTTTAAAAGAATTTTTAACTCCATAAGATAGAAAATTAAATTGGTCTGATTTTCATTGTTTTACAATATAAGAAATATAATATACAAATTTAAAAAATACTGGGATTAAATTAAAATCATTTCACTTTCCGTAAGTAGGTATTAAGTACCTAAGTCTAGACAATTTATTATTATAATACTTATTATAAGACTTAGAGGATCAGAGAAGTAGTTATTTGATTTTAAAATTCATAATGTTCATAGATTAAGGTTGTAAATCCTATTAAAGTATTAAGAAATAAAAATAATTTAATTTTGACTACTTGCATTCTAAGAAAAGTGAGTTTCATTCTCAGAGAAAAGAATTATGAACATTACAGTAACAAAAGATTAACTTTTTAATATTTTGATTTATTTTCATTATGTTAAAAGGTTGTAGGGGGAGTTGTATAAAAAAACGATTTGGTTCTTGAATATTTCTATTTCATATTGAGTGGTGGATAATAAACAATTTTTCCGTGTTATCCAAAATTCTTTCTGTGCGATTTTCAAAGTTTTTTTTATATTATGTAGTTTAGTATAGTAATAGTGCAGTTCGCCGGATCACTTTTAATAAAGTGGTGTATTATGAGGTTTTAGGTAAGTGTATAAGTTTTATATTATCGACTTAGAGAATATGTATTTTTTTTATTATATATTCAATATATCTACTTGCGGTTGTTGCTACCTAGTAGTATAATTTTCTATATGCATACAGTGTGGTCATTGAAGTGTGGAACATATGGGATTTTTTTAAATTAATTGCACAACCAAAAACTAATATTGCCAAAAGTTGGTAGGTACATCTGCGATTATTATTTAAAGTGCACATAGAATCGTTGCATGTCAAACAGTTTATACGGTCGGTCAAAAATAAATTTATACAAGAGTAAAGTGTTTCAGAAAGTTCAGCAAAATATTATTAAGAAAACTTGTTTAGAATTAAAAGTTATGCCTAAATACCAAAATTTGTCCCTAACAGTTTCATAAATTAGTCAAAATAGAATTATTCAAATTCAAGCATATTTGCAAAATTAGCTTAGGTTTTTAAGTTTTTTAGCAAATCAGAATCATGTTATTGCAACGAAGCAAAAATTATTTTTAACAAGGTAAAACGGGGGTGGGTGGCTCAGTGGTAAAGTCTCTGTCTAAGGATCCAAAGGTCCCAGGTTTGAATCCCACCGTTGGCCTGGATTTTTTCATTTAATTTAATTATTTAAAATTAATTCTGATGCCTTGGTAGGATGCCTCACTCGACCATTCACTGTTGGGTACTAATTAACAGTGCTGTTCCCAAAGTGGCGCTCGGAAACAGTTACAAAGCCTACACAGAACACGAGGCTAATAACCGTAGCAGTTGTAGCCGATGACACAAAAAAAACAAGGTAAAACAGTATTGATAATACGAATATTAAAAAGCTCTCATTTAAAGTACAAAAATTTTACTTTATATGTTTATTAAAACACTGTATGAATTAATTCACAATTTCAAAATTTTTTATAAACATTTTTGCAGTTAAAAGGGAGCTTTTTAATATCGATGTGTGGGTGGACGATAGCTGCTTCCCTGTTTGAAATAGGAACAAATGTCTCAAATAACAGTTGTAGAAAGCAATGAAAGTTTTGTTACGAAAATAAATAACAATATACAGGGTGTCCGACACATGAGAGTCACTTATCAAAATTATGTTTTTTAAAATAAAATACCCTGTATATTTTTACATTTTTAAAATCTCTACAATGAGCTAATTTCAATGATATTCCACACTTACTATCTATTAATAGTAAAGGATCTACAGCTACTTAAAAATCACAGTTTTTCAAATTCAGGTGGCTGTAGCCAATTAGTTGAAAATCGAGAAAAACGGGTTACATGTCCATGTCCTAATTTTTCAAGTTCTATTGAGTGACATAAAAAATAATTTCATACAGGATGATCAAAAATTGGATATTTTAGTTTAGTGTTCTATAGTGCACTTCTAGATATGAAGATTATCTTTTTCTATATCGTTGATGTAAATTTTTGTTATTTACTCATACACTATCCCGTTGGGATAAGAAAGTAAAAAAATAATAGGTATATAAACTATCCTATCGGGATGATTTTATTAGAAGCAAGTGAACTATATTATAGGTCTTTCTATTTTATCTCTATTATAATATATATATATATATATATATATATATATATATATATATATATATATATATATATATATATATATATATATATATATATATATATATATATATATATATAAATTATAATAGTAGTGTTATAAAATAAATAAGTGTTTAAATAAATTATTAATAAATAAACTGATGTTTAAAATAAACAAACATCACAGTATAATTACGGAAATAGTTACAATTAACTTTTGGTCTGCAGACGCCATTCTAATGCAGAAGGATACTCTGTCCTTAAGTCAAAGGTTCATTGTATCACTGTTTTCACCTATTACATAGTTAATGATTTTCAAAGGCCGTTATGTGATATCTTCTATAGGTTTACTCAAAATTTGTCTATTTAATTTCTTTATATCATTTTTATGATTGTGCACTGTATATTTTTGGTAAATTATATATTATCGGAACATTACATTTTTTATTCTATGTACAGGTCCAAAATTTGGTACTTTGGTGGTGAATTATATACATTTTTCTTGATTATTGAAATTTTAATTTTTAATATTAATGATTGGACTAAAATCGTATAATCTCACAATACACCTATTGGAATATTAATTCTCCTCTACCTAATATTATGTGCTGATATATTTAAGGTAAAAAAGTGTGCGCGAAATACGAGATTTTAGACTATTCTTAATTTGTCGGATATGAAAATTCTTAATAATTAAAGAATTAATCAGTATTTTTTTAACTTCTTAAATTAAATTGACGTTAAAATTTTAAAGAAGAAATATTCTTTGTAGAACAAGCGGCTAGCGCAATCAGTTTGACGCATGACAGTCTGCTCGTTACTAAAACCATGATTTATGATTGTATCATTTCCTATTAATGCCGTTCCTAATGATCCAAAATTAAACGCATTTGAAAGAGATCCTTGAACCGCTGGCTGGCTCCTGCCTCCCAAAAATTACATCTGCTTTATTTCTAGAAGCTTAATTATAAGGGGAACCCAAACACTAGCTATAATAAAAATGGCATTAACAAAAAACAAGCCATAAATTACCATAATGATGGTTTAAAGAAATTAGCTCGTTATACATGGAGGCCGCACCTATTTTTCTTTTTGTTGTTGTTGGAAATGTTTTGTTGTTTAAGAATATTTAATTGCTAATTATTGGGTGTAATGTGCTTTCGCATTGCTGTAATATATTATTTATTAGAATTCTACAAAAAAGATTAACTGAATGAACGAAGCTAAATCACGTTCTATTGGAGACCAAGTATTCTAAATTTTTAAATATAATTACAAAAATCCGATGCTGAGTGGGAAAGAACAGAAATTCATTATGCACTCGTCTTCAATATAGTCATAACTGTTGGTACATAGAGTAAGCAAAAATTATTTGGACCAAAATATGAGGATTGAACTAATTATTCTTTAATAAAATTTTGTTGTGGAAAATGGTACATTAAAGCTACGCGTTTTTTTTTGTTTTTTTTTTTTCGTTTTTTTTTTTGGTAATAATTTCACAATGTGTATTCATGAA